GGACGGGATGAGAGAGAGAGAAGGAGAAGGCAAGTGAGAGTGTATTGTTAGGACAAAATTTTTAAGACTACATATTCTAGTAGCTCCTAGTTACAATTCTATCTTGTTTAATTCGCCGCTACATTTCCGTAAATATCACTAACATACAAATAAATTTTGAATATTTAGACATGCGCGAAACGCAACATCGGTAGATTTTGATATCCGGTAAATGTATGTTATCCGGTGAATGTATAAGTTACAAAGGCATCAACTTAATCCATTGGCTACCACACGTTATATGTTCTTGGTTGTCTCTTGTTTAATTAAATCACTCAAGCGATTCATACTAAATGTATCAAGTTGTTTAATCCACGATAAAGTCACACAAACACGCAGCACTCTTGCATGCATACTTTTCTTCGCTAATAGCCTACAAAATGGCTGACGGACCATTGAGCGTCACGTGACGAAGCGGATCGCACAAGATTGATTGCTCCGAACGTCATAATCAGGGGCATGACGTCCCCCACGAATTTTCAGAAGGGCGGACATCATATCAAATGTCCCCCCCCACCGATTTTGATCACTATGATTTTGTGTGTAAGTGTGTGTGTGTGTGTGTGTGTGCTGTGTGTGTGTGTGTGTGTGTGTGTGTGTGTGTGGTGTGTGTGTGATGTATGTGTGTGTGTGTTTGTGAAGTGGAGAACCTTTTTATTGTGTGTGATTAGTGCCGTTCACGATTGGCTTCTTTCCCTTTTTTTTGCCAGCTTTCATTTTATTCAAGTGCATATTAGAGCATAATAATGATCATGCACAACTTAAGAAAAATGTGTCTTGAAAAATTTAGTAACGTTTCTTTTTTAACACGTTTTTTTATTTTTTTATTAAATAATTCTTATGCAGAAATCATCAAGAGAAAGTATGTTTATGAAAGTTTAGGAGATATCACTCACATTAGACACTGATTCAAGGATTAAGCTGGAAACACGAGCTATATTCACGCAAAGAGGACACTGAGTAACTGAGCATCGGTTTTAATAATGTAATTTTCATTGCAAATTGATGATATATATATATACACGCATATATGATATGACTGGACCAACAATAATAACGGACCAATTTATTTTGTGATCAGCCTCAACACCAAATGATTGGTTTTCTGCTTTTTGTTTTCTTGATTTTATGACTGCATGTGGACACCCTTTTCGTAATATTATCACAAACCAAATGCATGTGTGTGTGTGTGTGTGTGTGTGTGTGTGTGTGTGTGTGTGTGTGTGTGTGTGTGTGTGTGCGTGCAGGAGCGTGTACGGGGGGAGGGGGTCTGGGTCCGGACCACCCCCTGCTCGCGCAGAAAACGCATCTGAGTGGGTCTAATTTCCAAAAATTTGTAACAACGGTTGTGTGTAACAAATTTCTTTCACAATGCCTCACTTTATTCGCTTTAAGACGACCTAGCTTTACGACTTCTCAATTTTCCGCAACGCCAAACAAAATGCTCTGTATATACATTTCTATCCCGTTGGTAGCGATGGTGTCGCGAATGTATGACGGCAAACGAAATGTGTACACTATTCGCTTGGAACTATTCATTTAGGCTAGAGAGTAGGCCTACATATAAACTCAAAAACTTAAAAACTAATACTTTCAAAAGAATACTTTCAAAACTATACACAGGTATATTCAACTATACGTATTAATTTCCTCAGCATTCTATTCACTTATTTTTGACATTTATAACAAGCTCAATGTAGTTCATCTATGTGCTTGCTTAAAACGGTATGAGCAAATCAAAGTCAACGATTCACAAAAACAGCGTGTGTCATTTCTGCGCTAGATTGCCGATGGTGTTTTAAACATATTGTCAAAACCCACACATTGTCAACTCCAATTGCTAAGCTCGTAATATTATTGTTGTTTAGTAGTTAGTGATTATATGTAGGTAAATTATTTACTAAGATTTACGAGTTATGACATAAAAATTCTCCAAAGTCATCTAGTGCCAAGTCAAATAATAAGAATAGTGCCGTTTTGATCGAATTCGCCTTTATGACGCCATCGCGTTGCTATACGGAGCAGAAATTTCACGTTCAGAGTGATCACTTCGAGTGCATGAGTGATAATGAATTAAGTACCGTATCTCAAAGCAGAATTGAACCAGCAGCAGCAGTGGCACAGTAGCTGTCTTCAGATGAGGACTGACATGACATATCTATTCATCCATCTATATCAATACACCTAGAGATGTTGGTGGAAGTTGCATCTGGCATAGTGACAAATTATAAAACACTATCGAATGAAATCAAATCTTGAGAATAAACACTTTATTTTAAATGTAACACTTTATACAGCAATCCATCCACAATCCGCTTTACATTTTTACAGGATTATTAATGAAGAAATGTAAATAGTAAGGGACTATACCATCCATACACCAATACCAAAGAACATTTGTTTGAAATTAGTGTTTTATACAAATACAACATTGGTTTAGCATTGTTGTGATTCACAGTTAAAACACATGCCTGTAACAAAATCGAAAATGAGCTGTAAATAAATGAAAAAATGACAGTGGCAGTGCTGCAATACATTAATAGATCGCCAGAATAAATTCAGTCGCAGTTCGAAAACAAAGAAAGTAAATTTATTTATATTACAGCTACATCTACATCAGGGCTATATAATATTAAACTTTACCTGCTCAAATAGAAGAAAATATTCTAAAGTGTGAAACTCAAACTTGTAAGCTGTTGAAAATTGCTCCACCAGTAAGTACTTCTGCTCTGTAACGTTACGTTTGCAATACTACACATTTTACAATTGCAAGCATGTTATTCACATGTTATATTGCAAGATATGTTAGCACAAGAACCTCTCGTCAATAGGCCATCTTAGAAATAAGCTGTGAGTTTTCACAACCGAAAAACCTAAACACCATTCTATGTCGTGTGTACGTTTTCTCTATCCTTTCATATTATTAAGAAAGGTTCCTTGACTATACCAATACACAAACGTCCGGACTGATCAACTTACTGTAACTGCAAAAGCGGGTTAAAGTGATTACGTCACGAATTTCTAGCACCATCAAGTAGTATATTTGTGTATTATTTGTACAAAATAAAATGTATCAAAATACAATTAGTGTTTCTGTTTACTTTTCATGCTTATATACCTTCTTTATATGCCCTAATAGCTCTCTTGCCAGTTCCCCACTTGGTCGCTTGGCGCAGCACTGTTGCCAGACTTCCGGTAAGTTGGAATATCTGTTTGACTTGTTTTCCTGAGGATATTGTGTGAATACAACCTAAGTGAGTAGATAATACATCCTTTTTCCAAAATG